TTTCAAATACCACGACGCAAATGATAAGTTTCATTTCTGATGCACTATTAAGAAAACCCAAACTCATTAAACCGCTAATCCTTTCGGGTTCTAAATAATGGTGAATGTAAATGAATGATAAGCATTAGCTCCTCACTTATGTAAATAGGCATATTTCGTTTTGATTTTGAGACTGACAGCAATCCTATTCACCGCTAAATTATCTTGAATTCAAGAAAAATGCTGGATGTTTACAGAGTTGTGATCAATATACCAGTTCAGCTCCAGACGTTATCACGCGTATTCTCGATGAGCTTCAGCGAAACACAACCAATAGTGAGATGGTTAATGGAGTATCTCATGCTGATATTCCATGGGTCCTCCAATTTCGCTAAAGCCTGCCGTGTGATGCGCGCGATAGCGGGCGGAAGCAAAACTGGTGTACTGTATGCCGCTAGCCTACATTAATACACCTTAACGTGCAGTCTCACAAATGATTAGCTCTCAAAAATTGTAACCGTCGTATAGAAAGCCCCAATGGACGCGTTTTTCTAATAAATCGATATGGAGATTCCCCCTCTGAAAACCTACGGAATACAGAATGGAAACCTGCGGAATACAAAACACATCATTCGGTGTTTGCCGTTACAAAATCCTATGAGGAGACGTCGAGCTGAATACGAAGTGTGCGGTTGCGGCGGGCGCGCATGTCACGTCAGGGTTACGGTAGCCCATCGGCTGGGTGCTGAGGTTAGATTCTTGTGTACTCAGATATGGAGCTTAGAATTTGGAGAATCAAGGTGGGCAAAAATCTATATAGAGAAAAAAGCTGCCAAAATAGGAGTTTTTCGGAATCCATCGTCATCATCGAACCTTACTCCGGTCGTCCCTTAATTTCAAAAATCATATTCACGTATTGAGAAATGAGGATTCTAAAAACGGGCTCAGTACCCTTTTTTGATTTCTAAACCCGGTAATTTCTTGCGAAATGGAACCAAAGTCGTAAATAATGACGAGAAGAACATCACTGATCAGTTTTATGCTTGGCTTTGCTTTTGGGTTTTGCTTTAAACGTTTTTGCCGAATGCGAGCGCTACGATATTGTGCTCCGACCCAATGTGATTATGCGTCGCTGTGTAAGATGATGAGTACTAGGCCATTTCTTTTAATATCATTCACATCGAACCTCATGCGACCGCTATCATCCTGACGTTCATGAATGGTGATCATTTTAGCTCCGCGCTCCGCTGCGCTCATCAAACAGAGCTTTACTCAAAGTGGGCGGCCCATGCAACGGTCACCTAATGCTTATAGCGATGCAACTTATTGTCTAGCGGTGAAACCTAATGCTTCACCGACCGTTTAGCTTCGCCGAAGCCTTCCGTGTCATGCGGGCGGTAATGTGAGGAGCTGAACTAGTCACTTATAAAATGATCTGCAGTTCGAAATGATCTGCAGTTGCAGTATCATCGGTTCTCGAAATACCCGCCTTCAGCCTTCAAGTGGTTTTTCAAAAATTTGGAAAACGCATCGTATGGTATTTCCCACCAAGTTCTTCCTAGTATCGCAGAAGCACCGTGAAGCACCGTTATGAGAGGGTTCAACTTTGAGCATATAACAGAAAACACTTTTCTGACCAAGGAAACCCATACTTGAAAGTACAATTGAATTGTAGAGCATCCGTCGAGATTGCCTGAGTCGGGGATCAGCTCGGCGCACTGTTTCCGAACAAATTTCGGCGGGGCCCTGAAGCAGTGCTACCGAATTCACAGGAAACCCTCTCTAAAATGAAACCCGCTCATAATTGTAAACAATTACCAAGTTTGATTGCTGTCTGAACAAAGTTTGAAAATTTGTGAAACCGACGAAAATGCGTTCAACATAGTGCTGTGTTGGAGTTTC